GGTGAGGTTGGGTCACAGGTCGGACTCGATGGTCTCAGAGGTCTTTTCCAACCTGGCTGACTCCGTGTTTTTGTGATTCCACACCCAGGAAGCAGGACAGGGACTGACCCCCTCGTACCTTCACGGTCTCGTACCAGCAGGGCTGCTTGACCTGGTAATAAACCACCGACTTGTACTCGGAGACACCTTCGTAACCAGCCCCGGGATGGATGGCTTTCTTTGGACAAAAACACACAGGGAGGGGGGGAGGAGGAGAAGGTGAGGTCTGCAATGAGAGCAGGGAGGATTTGGGGTCATGCAGCTGTCGGAGGCCCTGGTACCTCCTGCAGGTTTCCATCCTCGTCGTGCACAGACATGGTGACTTCCACGTTCTTGGGCGTCTTCTTCTTCCCCTTGTCGAACTCCCCTTGGATCAGGGTGACGTAGATGTCGTTCCGAACGTCCCCTGAAATCCAGAACGTTCCGTGAGGGTTTTCCTCACACAGTTTTCCAGGTGGACACTTCACATCCCTGGGGACCACATCACCCTCGTCTTCTCCTCAGCCTCTGGGTAATTCCCAGAATCACAGAATATTGGAAGGGGCCTTTAATGACACCCAACATCCCAGCATTTCACCTCCATCTCATATTACACAAAATCCTTTGAAAATGAACCGTTTTCCTTTTCATAAACCTCTTGTCCTTATGTATTTTTTTACAGGGCTAAATCCACTTCAAATGGATTATACAGGGTCAAACCTACACCAAACAAAAATGTCTCTGACTAAAAAGACATTTTAATCCAAAAAACTATCATTTTTCAATCAGAAAGGAAACTCATGCTTTCAATTCTTTTGACAAAACCAATTTAAAATCATCCGGAAATGTGAAGAAAAAGAGAAAGTTTTCAGACAGCTTCAAAATATATTTTTTTATAGCAGAAATTCTAGAATTTTAACTGGCTCTTTCCCTCTGTAGAGGCACAGGGGGCCTACCAGGAAGGATGATCTCAGGGAATCCCATTTTCCGAGCCACAGCAGTTGATCTGTCTACAAGGTGGGAGAAATCCTTTTGAACCTGAGCCAGATCCCCAGGGAGCAGCTTCAGGGAGACCCAAAGACCTGAGAAAAGGAAGATAACACTTGTTTACTGCCCAAAAAAAAAAAAAAAAAAAGGTACAGACCCATGAATTTTAAGCCCATGTTTATAAAAACCTTTTTCCTCCTGCAACAATTCCTTAAATATCCCAAGCTGGTTCTTTCTTGCCCAGTTCTGAATCTCCCTAAGGCTGAGGGAGACTTTACTGGGCAAGAAGATGCTCTGAAGTAAAACACAAACTTTCTGAGGTGAACCCTGAGTGTGTTTGAGCAAAGGCCACACACACAGGGAAGGGCAGAAGGATCCTGAATAATTCACTTTAAACCCAAAGCCATTCAGGACACGCAGCAACGTTCACCTGACAGGATTTCATGTCCACATAAACAGCTTTAGGTTGGAAATACTGCATTATTAGCAGGGAAACCATCAGCTGGAGAAGCTCCTCTCAGTCAGGTAAGAAGAGCTCCTGGGTTAGATCCACGTGTGCTGGGTGACAACCACCACAAAGAACACAGGCTTGGCTCAGGGAAGGGATCAAACTCCCCCAGTCCCTGACCTCTGGACTTCCACAAGGCTTTTATCTCCTCAGCAAGCAGGGGAAGCCTTCCCCAGGCTGGGGCTGTACCTTGGCCTTTGTGATTCACCTCCTTGGCAGCGATGACTTTGTTGAAGACCGAGGTGAGGGGCTCGTTCTCCCCAATCACGTGGGATGTGATCAGGGGGGACATGATCAGCTGCCTCTGCCTGATGTAGGTCTCCATGGCAATCCTAAATCAGAGAGCACACACCAACATCAGCCCGGGCAAGAAGAGGGCTGGCCAACAGCTGGCTGTTTTCCAGGGAAATGGGGTTTTTTTTTTAAAGGATTCCCTGTGGATTTTTACTTCTTCCCCTGCACAAAGCCATGGGAAGAACATTTAAACTCTCAAGCTAGGAAGGACATCAGGCTTAGTATGAGTAGCACTGAGCTGAGGCCTGATTTCAGTTGTACCTGAGAGCTGGTTCCTAGGAGGCCACGCAGATTAATTAGTGTTAATTTAACAGAATTAATGACTGCTGTGAGATCACAAGTGGTGAACCTCTCTCCAGTCACAGACACATCTACTGAGCTTTGGATCTTGAACCTGACTTCACTCCTGTACCACACCAGCAACTGTGACACACAAAATCATGTCTTTGCAGATTGAGGTGTCCAGCTGTGCACTCAAACTCAGCCTCATTAGAGCAGAAGGAAAATGGGGGAAAATCCCCAAACCAACCAAAAAACAAACCAACCAAAAAACCCCAAAACAAACAAAACCCCCAACAAACAAAACCAAAACACAAACGAAGGACCCAAACAAAAAAACCTCCAAGCAAACAAAGAAAAATAACAAAAACAAGTAAAGAAAAATAACAAAACCAACCAAACAAAAAAAAACCCAAAACAAACAAAAGCCCCAAAACCTCCCAAACAAACAAACAAACAAAAACCAACCATAAAGCAGCAGAGTGTCATTATTCTGCAAAGGAAAAGCCATCCTTCCAGGCCCTGAAAGGGTAGGGGAACAAAATCTCCCCTGAAAATACCTTGTAATAACATCTGGCTGCAGCACTTGCATTGCTATATTTAGGACTGTAACAACATGGCTGGGTCTACCCAAACAAGCTCCATTTCAGTGCCTGGAATGTGCCAAAAAGTGAGCACCCAGAGCAGGCAGAGCACACAAGGCTGACCAGCACTGCAAGAATGCAGAACTCACTGGGCTTCCTGGGAAAAATCCCTTCCCTCCTGCCCTCTGACCCTTCCAGGGAAATCTGGAGAGGGAAGAGGCAGAGGTCCCACCCAGCAGGGACAGGATGTGTCCCTGTGCTCAGGTGTTTCTGAAACACTTGCCTCTCACCCCTCAAAGAGTTTGGAAACCACCTCCCCCAGGTCTCCCAACGTTATTTTGCACCGTGTTCTCCTTTCTTCCCTCCCAGGGAGAAATTCCAGCTGATTGCCAGAACTCCCCGAGCAATTCAGCTTGTCCTGGACACACAGAGAGCAGAACAAAGGCTCCAGGGGACTGACAGAAACCTTCCCCTTCCGAGAGCTGGCTCCTGATCTATCTGCAGAGCCCTTGGGGCAGTGCCAGCCTCCCAGACAGATCTGCCCTCCTGCAGAGGACAGTGGCTTTAATAAGCCAGAGCTGTGACCTCTGGAGCCAGTACTTACTGCTGGAACGGGATAAAATGCTGCTTCTCCTCGTCATCCACCTTGCCATGGATGATGTCAGTTATGTCCATCACTGCAACGACACCAGAGCAGCACTTACTGCTCAAGGACACCCAGAGAGCTCTGCCCTTCATGATGGAAACAGCATTCACTGCTCAAGGACACCCAGAGAGCTCTGCCCTTCATGATGGAAACAGCATTCACTGCTCAAGGACACCCAGAGAGCTCTGCCCTTCATGATGGAAACAGCATTCACTGCTCAAGGACACCCAGAGAGCTCTGCCCTTCATGATGGAAACAGCATTCACTGCTCAAGGACACCCAGAGAGCTCTGCCCTTCATGATGGAAACAACAACAGCTCCTTTGGGGTCAGTGGCACCCATGACAAGGGCTCTGAGCAACCTGGCCTGGTGGAAAGTGTCCCTGGGGGAAACTGGGGGGGTTTTAAGGTCCCTTCCAGCCCCAATCACCCTGGGATCCTCACCAGACAGCACCACCCTCATCTGAACTTTTCAAAAAGCACCTTTTCACTGATGGGCAAGTCAGCCCGTGAGTGTGAATATGTGATAAAAACCAGGTGGGGCTCAGGGCTTTCACAGCAGAGAAATCACATTTATAATCAAAGGCTGTTATTGCGTATTTATTTTGTTTTGCACCACAAATTTCAAGTCTTTTCCCAGAGGATCACAGGAATCAAAGAGGAATTGGGTGTCTCATTCTGTAAACCCTCCAGCTTTATCCCTTGAGCCCCGAGGAGAAAATCCCTCCTGGATAAAGCCCTGATAAAGCTGCCTGCGCTGGGAGGTGACAAAAGTGAGCAGTGACAGCGTTTCATCCTCCTGGACAACCTTCATGAGAGGTCCCAGAGGGGACTATTTATAGCTGGGCAGCAGCAGAGATGCTGACTCTGGTGGGTGCCAGGCTTTGGGACACCCCCAGCACACAATTCCCAGTTCCCAGCCCGCTGTCCCGGTGCCCGGGCCATGGCAGGCTCTCCATGGGCTCCCCCTGCCCTACCTGCCACCCCAAAGGGCCTCCTGAGCCCACAGGTGTGCTTCTTGCCATCCTTGAGCTCCATGTGCCCCACCCTGACGATCTGACACACCAGGCTGATCTTGGGTCTGATCAGGTCAGAGCTGCTCAAGTCCTGGAAAGTGAGGTGAGATAAAATGACATCAAAATCTGCTTCACGGATGGGAGGGAAGGCAGAGAGAGCAGGACACTCTGGGAGATTGAAAAGGTGAAAATTGTGGCCTCCAGGACCTCAAGGGAGCCCTGAAGGTCCTTGTAGGACCTCAAGGGAGCCTGCAAGGAAAGTGCAGAGAGACATTTATGGTGCCAGGACACAGGGAATGGATTCCCACTGCCAGAGGGCAGGGACAGATGGGATAGTGGGATAAAATTCCTCCCTGGGAGGGTGGGGAGGCCCTGGCACAGGTTGCCCAGAGAAGCTGTGGCTGCCCCTGGATCCCTGGAAGTGCCCAAGGCCAGGCTGGAACAACCTGGGATAGTGGGAGGTGTCCCTGCCCATCACTGGGTGATCTTTCTGATCCCTTCCAACCCAAACCATTCCATGATTTCTGAACTCACAGTGAAGACTGCCTGGAGGTTATTTAGCTTCTCAATTTCTTTGGGCATCCCGTTACTGCCCCAACGAACCAGGTAATTCTCACTGCAAATGAAGGAAATAAAAAAAGAAATTTAAATAAATCGACACCCAGCATTCCCAGTTCCTGCCAGAAGCTGGAAAGAGTTTTGATCTTTTGGGAATATCTGAAGAATTCTGCCCAAATCTTTCATCCCAAGATGACTCTGAGCTCAATTTGGATCTTTCAGGAATATTTGAAGAATTCTGCCCAAATCTTTTATCCCCAAATGACTCTGGGGTGACTCATTTCAGAGGAGGGTGAAGGCACATTGTGAGCACTCCCTGTGTAATTCCAACTGCATTTCCACACCTGATAACTTAGTGCTGGAGACAGAGTGTTCCTGACACAGACTTGCTTCCCTGATAAAGTTCTTTATATCCTCCCTACCAATACATAATTCCCAGCTCTTTGATGTGACCCTGCACTGCCTGGACAGAAAACCTCAGGTATGGACATGATTTATTGGGAAACAAATAATCAAATGCATCCAGTCTTGGGAAAATTGAGAATATAAAATCTGGGGGTTTGGGTGATGTGTTTCAGAAATGCTCAGCTTTAGGGAGGGGAGTCAGAACCTTGACTTCCCATCTCAGCTGAAATTAATTCCCAATTAATCAGAATTAAGTTCCCACAGAACTGAAAAACTTCTCTGCTGGATTTTCTTTTCTAACCTCTACTGGCTTCTTTAAAAGGACCACCAGGATGACCAAATCACCTCTTAAAAACAGCCCCTACCTGATGAATTTGGAGAGGTCAGGGTCGTAGAGGCTCATTAACAGCTCAGCATCTTCCCCAATGTTGCAGACAAAGTTCTTGAAGTTCACATACAGGCTGTAGGTGTGGGTGGAGTTGAAGATTGGCTGCCCCCTGAGGTCCAAATTCTGCTGCAGGGACTGCAAGGGACGGGAACATTTCCATGAAAAACAAACCCAGAGGAATTCGGTCGCGTGCTGCCAAAGGAGCACAAATGTACAAACACAGCGGGCACCAGGGGCCTGGAGAGGACAGAGCAGTGACAGGAGATGCACCTTCTCCTCCTGGATCCTCTCGTCAATCCTTTTGGAGGCAGTTTCGTGGGCCTTGAAGAGGGAGATGGTGCTGGTCTCATCCGGGTCCAAGATGTTCCCGTTGTCGTCTCGCACCACCAGGTCCAAGCCCAGGATCCTGAGCAGCACAGGGGACAAGAGGGGAGTTTTGATTCAGTTTGGGAGCAGCAAAGGGGGCTTCAAGAGCACAAATGAACCAGGGAACTCAATTCCAGGGTGGCATCTCCCTCATTCTTGCTTGCAGGGCTTTGTTTCAAAAGGTGGATGTGTATCTACCAAGCTGATTATTATTCTTTGCCACAAGCTTTCTTCTTAATTGACTTATTTGACTTGAATCAGGTCTGACAGGCAGATAAATGAGCTCTGGAGACGTTCCCTGTTCTGTGCAAACCAGTGAGAGCTGGAGTTCTGGTGGCCAACAGAATCCTGTTCCTCAGTTGCTGATAAAGCAATTTATTTATTTCACCACCAGCAGCCAAATCCTGGCTCCAGCCAACCAGGAACAAATTGTCCTCCCTGGGAAATGCCACCAAGGCCAGATTTATGCAGAATTAAGACAGGTGAGGCTTCCTGCCAAGTCCAAGAGATCTCTGGCACGTGAAGAACCAACTGCTGCAAACCCACCTGCCAGGCAGTCCCACCCTGGTGGGCACTCCAAGCTGCCACCATCGCCCTTCCAAGGGAAAAATCCGAGCCTAATTCAGCGTGTGGTCACTCACACTGTGCATTTCCTGGGATTTGGGGCTCCCCCCTGCCCCCCAGGCAGAGTTTGGGTTTACCTGTTGCCATAGTCAATCTTGGCAGTGACTTTCTTCTTGAGCTCAGCCAGTTCATCCTTGGGAAGGGTCCCCGAGAGGATCTGGGACCTCCACTCTATCAGGCTGTAGGTCAGCTGCTGCACGTGCCTGAACTGGGTTGTCTTGTTGTTCTGCAGGAAAAAAGGGACAATTTTAAACAAGAAAAGCCTGAAACCACTGAGCTCAGTCAGCTCAGAACTGCCCTCAGCTACAGAACCCCACAAGTTGTATTTAACTACAAATACCTGAGAAACAGGCCCTGTGTGATAGTGCAAGATGAGACCCCAGGAATGAGTTCTCCAGTGCTTTGCATGGCCAAGGTTTAAGTGTCTTTAAGATCTTTAAGTGCCTTTAAGGGCTTCACCTTTCCCCAGGACATTTTTTTTTTTTCAGAAAAACCCCACAGACTAAAAATAGGCTTCTGGTGTTTTCCAGCACTTCAAAAGTGCTCTGCTGGGGAATTTTATGTACAGGGCAGAGAGGATGTTGAGTGACCACAGGGGTGTTCTAGCAGATTGAGACAGGAATGTCAACTTAATAGAGAATCATGGAGTGTCCTGAGCTGGAAGGGACCCACAAAGATCATCCATCCAACCCCAACAACCCCACCCTGTGCTGAGGGAGTTGTCCAAAAGCTCTCTGAGCTCTGTCAGGTTTGGGGGGCTGTGACCAAACCCTGGGGGAAACACAGAAAGAACAAATATTCAGTGCCCAACCACCCCCTGGGGGAAGAACCTTTCCCTACCACCCAACTGAACCCCCTCCTGACCCAGCTCCTGCCATTCCCTTGGGACCTATCCCTGCTCCCAGAGAGCTCTTGGCCCATCCCATGTTTTCATACCCATGTTTTCACACCCCACCCCAGCTGCAGCTGCTCAGAACCACATCAGGGGCTGCCCTAAAAATGCTCTAAAACAATCAGCTGAGTGGATCCTCCTGTTTGCATTTCCATCTCTGCTGTGAGAGCAGCAGCTGTAATTACCCAGCACTGACTGAACAGGACATCAAAAACTCCTGCTGAAGAGTTTCCTCCTGCCATCCCTGCTGTTATCATCCTTAATTAACAAAAATACTTTTCCTGCTGGTTCCACCCTGACAAAATCACTCCCATCTATGCACCTTGTTCCTACAGTTCCAAGCTCCAAGACTGTAATTAAAACGTGGATGGGTGTGTGCAAACCTACCCTGTTTGGAGCAATTTGTGCTTGGAGAAGTAAATAAGCTTTTTAAAAGTGTCAGACAAAATATTAAACCATTTAAAACATTTAAACCATTAAAAAAGGGAGTCCAAGTCTCCTCCTCTCTTCGCCACCTGGGATGACTCTGAGTGCCAAGAGCAGCTCATTTTCCCAGGGAAGGGCCACAAACTGGAAGTTTCTGGGACAATGATTATGGTTATTCAGCTCCAAAATGACCTTTCAAGAGGTTTTTGGCTCCATCCCACCCACAGCCAGTGGGAACTGGCCAGTGGTTCCCTGCTGGTCCTGACTGGGGTGTGACTGCAGCAGGGCTGTTAATTTTTAACTGCAAACCCCAACAGCAGAAAGGGAAACTCAGTTCAGTGATTTCCCCATTCTCATCTCTGTCAAATAACGTGAATGATTAATTAAATCACATGAAGGATATAAATCACTCATATTTCCCCCCAGATCTGAAGGGAGTTTATAAACAACCATCTTCCTCTTGATTTGGGTGACAGAGGCTACAAGAGGTTTGAGCTGCTACAGGGAGGATATCAGAGATATATTTAACAAACAAAGAGATATATTTAATAAACAAAGAAAAAAAAAGGGTGTCCTTGCATAAAAATACTTGCAAGGAAAAGGCAATTTGTGTGGGTTTTCAGGGCAATACAGAGCAGACCTCAATGTGCCATCAGCTAAAGCTGAGTTATCTCCCCACCTAATTCCTATTAACTAAATCAACTTAAAAACCCTCCCCCATTTTTATATTTATTTTGCAGTGGAGATAAACCCACTCCTGCAATGAAACCCACAGGAATTAAAGCAGTGAAATTAAATGCTGCCAAAGGAAAAAAAAAAATCCCCTCATGTTTCCTTTTGCTCCTCAAATACCTCCTTCCTCCTTTAGCCTTTTTTTTTCTTTTAATACACACTGCAAGGGAAAATAAAACAAACTCAAATCCATCTCAAACCACAACATTTTCCAAGCCTATTTTAGGACTTCTATTGGTGAAGCACAAGAACATGAAAGGATTTCTGCTCTTCAAAAAAAAAAATAGATTCTGAGGCTACAATCCTCGAGTCATTCAGGAATCAAACAACAATAACAAAAAAAAAAGCCAGGAACAAAACTCTCTTTTCACGCAGTAATTCCATCCCATGCAGCTCCTCATTAAATTAAGAGGGTGGAACACATTCTTGTGGTTTCGTGGCACACAAACAAAATGAACTCTGTGGCCTGGTGAGATTTCCAACAGGAAAATTTGCTCAGTGATTAGATTTAAACCCCCTCATCTCAATTAAAGCACATTCTGGGCAGGCTGAACTCGCTGCTAATGGCAGAAAAGTCAAGTCTGAGTTTTTAATGTGCCTTAATAATCCATTTCAAAAGAAGGCAACTCGCTGGGAGCTCTTGGAGCAAGATAAACCCACCTGAGGAAGCCCAAAAAATCCCTGTCCTGCCTTGTGATGGTGCTGAGGTGACTGCCATGGTCAGGGGGCTCAACAGATCCAGCAGATGAGAGGTCTTTGCTCACCCTACTGGGAACTAAATCCTTGGGAGAGCTCCCAGGGACCAGCCCCTGATCCCTGCTGGGTGCCAGCCCCAGCACCCTGGAGTGGCTGGAGCTGGGCCAGGGGGTTAAGGAGTGAAAAAGGCAACAGAAAAAGCTTCCTGGAAAGTTGCTCTTCAATAGTGGAAACTTAGGAATTTCTACAGATGCCGGGAGAGCTTTTTTTTTTTCTACAGATGCCGGGACACAAGTCCAGGGGACCTGGCAGATGAGTCCAGGAATGTTCTGTAGCAAGGACAAATGAGTAGAATTGACAATTAGCAGGAATTTTCTGCATGTCATGCAGGAAGATGACACCAAACCTCAGCTCTGTGAGCCCACAGCAGTGCAGCAGAGCACTTTTAGCCTCTCCCAACACCACTTTTACCACAGTGGAAGGGTTAAAATGCTGCCTGACATCCCTGCCAACAGCCCGGGCTCGTCTCACCCCGAGGTTCTGTGACAAAACTGAGGAAAACTCACCACGTACAACTTGTGCCAGATAACTGCCCACTCCCTCAGGGTGGAGGTGAGCTCCTGGCCCAGGGGTAACTCACTTGGAATCACCGTTTCGTGTTGCCTGGAGGGGAAAAAAAAAGGAGAAAATGGAAGGTTTTACACTCGGGATTAAAACTTCGCGGTCAAACATCCTTTTTTTTTTTGGATAAATATGTAAAAGGAAGTTTCAGAGGGGATTAATTTCCACACAGTTCACTCACACAGGATGGCAAGACTCTAAAGATGTTCTCCAGCACACACATGCACATTCATTATCCATTTTTAATCCAAGCTTCTTTCAGTCTTGTTATGCCCAACGCATCCATCCCAGAAAGAGAATAAATAGGGAGAAATTCAGTTTGGAAGAACCACCCCTTGCAGTGGTAACAGTCATTTAACAAATAAAAATAGAAGAGCAGTTTACAAAGCTTCTTCCTTTGCAACTGCTGTTTTCCCCTTGCTCTGACAACCAGAGACTCAGCTCTAGGAACCGAACCAGGAGTCATTTCCTTAAATGTTTTCCAAGACAGGAAGGAATCCACACTCCTGCTGGGTCCTTGGCTGGGAGCAGGAGGCTCTTCTGACTTGCAGGAGTCCCCAGAGGAGCTCCACTGACCTGCCCCACTCCTAACTGGTCTAGCAGAGCTTCCTTAATCCTGCCAAGAGCCTCCTCCTGCACCCATCCCACGACTGCTTGGGGATGGCAGCGCTCTGAAAAATGAAATTATGCAGCCCTGGAAGTCTGGCACAGGAGGCACACCCTGCTCAGAGACAGAGCAGGAGTGTTTGGCACGACCACAGCTCCCGGAATGGGGGGTTTTGGGGTTTCCAGGGAAGGGCATTCCCGTGGCTTCGCTGCCGACCTACCCCCGGTCCTTCACGATGGCCTCTTTTAAATGGATGTACGTTTCTGGGAAAATGCCCTAAAAATAAACAGAGAAATCGGAGAAATCAATCACAGCCCGGGTTAGGAGGGGGACAAAAATACATTTAGCAGAAAGGAGGGGAAAAGGGAAAGAAATGTCCCAGTGTCACAGGAAAAAAAGCCATTAAAGAGTCCACATTTCAGCACTATATTTGATATTTGGCACCTCAGAGAAGGCAATTCCTTGTTTCCCTCTAATGACACTCATCTTCCTGCACGACATGCAGAAAATTCCTGCAAATTGTCAATTCTACCCATTTGTCCTTGCTACAGAACATTCCTGGACTCATCTGCCAGGTTGCCCTGGACTTGTGTCTCTCTAGAAAAGTTCCCCCAGCATCTGTAGAAATTCCTAAATTTCCACTATTGAAGAGCAACTTTCCAGGAAGCTTTTTCTGTTCCCCTTTTCATTCTTTTTTTATGACCAAAAAAAAATGGAAGCTGAGGGATGCTACCACAAGAGAGGAGCCAGGAATCCTCTGGGAAACCAGATTTCCCTGCAGCTTCAGGGCCAGATCCACAAACCCCAAGCAGCCTGGCTGAGATCCAGGCTGTGTGCAATTCCTGGAATATTTTCCAAGCCAAATAAAAAAAATCTGATATTACCATTAAATATAACTAATGCTGGATGTGTCCAGGTCCAAGAGCATAATAATAATAAAGCAATGAACTTGTGGAGCAGTTAATTTGGGGAGTTCAAGCTGCATTCCTCGTGATTCCAGAGGGGGAATATCCAGCTAATGGCTCTGAAACTTTGAGCTCAGGGGCATATTTTCTGTCACTAAAGACAAGGACACAGTGGCCAGGAGAGCTGCACAATATTCAGACAAGAAATACAGCAGATTACAGCACTGGATGGGGCCTGGCAAGGTGAGAGATGAAAAGGAGAGCCATAAAAAGTGAGGTCATACCTTCTTCGATTTATTTCGGAGGGTGTATCCTCGGTACCAGCCTGGCAAAGGAACCAGAAATATTTATATTTACATCTATATCTATATTTATATTTACATTTATATTTCATTTATATTTATAATTTATATTTATGGTTTTCTTGCCTACACCAAGTGTAATTCTCCCCACCTTTCCACAGCACCAATCTATTGATTTTGCCAGTTTGAGCTCTTACTGCTCTGGAGACACCTCTGCTTTTCAGGGAGGAGCCTGAACTGCTTGTCCTGGCACAGATCCTGCTTATTAATATTATCTGATCAAGATCTAGAGAGTACAAGATAAAAATAACAGCTGTGATCCCCAGGACTCAGAAGGACGTGTCACTGAGGGGGACATTTCTTCTCTCTTCAGCACCGGGGGTCTGACCTGTATTTTCATAAAACCATGGAACAGTTTGGGTTGGAAGGGACCTTAAAAATCATCCAGTGCCAGCCCCTGCCATGGGCAGGGACAACTTCTACTAACCCAGGCTGCTCCAAGCTGGCCTTGGACACTTCCAGGGGGTTATTTTGATGTTAAAATCACCAAAGCACAAACCTGTTAAAAAAAAAGCTGAATTTCTTGCATCCTCAAGGGACCTTTGCTCAGTGAGCAGAGAGGAGAGAGGCAGAGCTGGGGGAAAGTCCTTGTCCCTTCTCCTCCAGCACCTCCAAACCATGTGAGATGGGGGGTCTTTCTCTCCCTCCTCCCCTGCACCCCTTGGCTGGGCTGTGCCAGCAGGGCACGACCAAGCACCCTCTGCACTGGGTTCCTCTCTTTGCCACGGCCAAGTTTCCATCCCCTGAGTCCTCCTGAAGTTCCTGCCCCGAAAACAACAAACTGAACCCATGAGGAGAAGAACCTGCCCTGTTTGAAATGGCCACATCCCTCGGGTTGAGTCTCACCCTGACCCTCAGCCAGGAAAACATCAAAGACATTCCAACCTCAGGACTCGCCGGGATCCCAACTCTGCACTACCCCAATTCCCAAGTTTGGACTCTTTTCCTAAGGATCCACCTGCCCAAAAACTAAACCCACAGGCCCTGTCCCTCAGCAAGCACACAGGGACTATATATATATATATATATATGGATTATAGTCCCTAACTCCTGGATGGTGCTCAGAGTCAGCCAGACAACCCCCCTGATCCCACAGGATTATGTCCAGCTGAGTGGCAGCACCAAGAAGGCAAAGGGATTTAAGGGAATAATCAGCAAAGAAGAGAAGGAGAGAGGAGGGGAGGCTGGTTTATTTGGGTTTTTGTTTGTTGGTGGGGTTTGTTGTTGTCCTCTCCCCCAACACTGATATATTTAGCAAAGAACCTCCCACGAAGAACCACAAATCTGAGACCCCCTGACCATAAATTAAGAGTTTAGAGTGGTCATATTGGTGTTTTGATGGGGTTTTTTTGTGTGTTTCTTGTTGTATTTGGTCTTTTTTTCTTTTCAAGTGCAGTTTTGACCCCTTTCTGCAGCAATGAGAAGGCACCTCAACCACAGAAACTCCAATATTCCAGGAATAAGTCAGGAGCAAAGAAGAAATTCCATTCCTTGCACAGGATGAAAATAAGATTATCCATTGACCATGGACCCATGGATGAGGTACTGGATTAGGGATGAGAAGATTTAGGTTCTATTTTTATCTAAGTTGTCATTAATTGAACAGTAAAGTCCAAGTTGCTCAGGGTGTGAGACAAAGCCCACGGAATTTGCCAGGAGTGTTTTCCCGGTGATCTCAATTCCACCTGCCACCTTCAGCCCCTCCACAGCCCAACTTCCTCATATCTCAAATGGCCTCCTGGCACTGAGCACATTCCTGCAAAATATTTTGCAATCATTGCATCAAACCCTGTCGTGTCTGATGATGCAAAACTATTTCTGCAAGCACCTCGTGCCATTTTTTTATCGGAATTCTGCTCCTGTTTTCAACAATTTTGCCCATCACTGGAACAGGAACACGATCTTTTGCCACTGGTGGATTGATGACGTGACTTCTTCTTATTAAAAACCCCCCAAAATGTGCCTAAACTTCAGAGGAATGAGAGATTATTGAAGTGTTTGGGTATTTTCACCAAGTAAGAGAAAAATTCTTCAGTTGATGACGACCCAGCACATTTAAGCTCCTACAGCGAACTGAAATCTGGTTGAGACCACAAAAAGAACACTGAGCTGGCAAAGAAAATATCCAGAAGTTTGGGTGTTTCTTGGGATCAGGTCCTCGATTTTACCTTTCATTAAATGGATTTTCTGCAGCACAGAAAAGATGGGAAAATCTACGAGAAAATATTCCAATTGCAGTGGTTTGAAGCTGGCAAGTTCTCCAGGGTGGGGCAAGCCCGGGTCAGGGGTTGAACCACAAGGTCTTTGTTCCTCCTGCAGGGCCCTGTCCTGTCTCACCCCACACACAGGGATTGCTTCACCCCCTCCAGGGCTCAGAGAAAAGGCTGAAACCAGGCAGAAAGTCAGTGTAAACTTATTTGCAGCAGGAGAAGAAAGCGATGAGAACCAGGTATGTGAGCAGACATTCCTTCTCCCCACAACTCGGCCATTTCCCACAGCTTCCCTGAAATAATAATAATAATAAATAATAAATAATAAGAGTTTCCCCTAAACAGCAACGTGTCCTCCCAGCTCATCCTCAAGGACAGATTCCCAGAGAGTAAATCCTGCACTGAACCAGCCTCCAAAGCCCTGGATGCAGCAAGTTTTCCTTCTTTCCTTGGATTTTGCAGCGTGTGCAGAGTCTCAAATATTTTTGGCAGAAGCCCACACTGCGTTATCTTGTTATCAAGTGGAACAAGGAATTCTGCACAAATACCTTGTGCCCTTCAAGCACCTCACAGGCAGCCAGGGAAAGGAGGGGGAAAACAAAAATACAACCCTGGCTTTGCAGGTTCCAGTGCTAAGGGATCTAAACTAGCAAGGCCAAGCTGGGTTTATTTTAATTTAAGAAAAGTGGTGACCTCCAGATTTTTGTGTGTAAGAATTTCTGTGTATGATAACACGTGTTTCAAAGCACCCCTGAAGCCCAACCAACACATCTCAAAACGGATCACTCAGAGCAAAACACTGAATGTGCACCTCCAGAATCACAGGAAAGGCTGGAAAAGGCCCTTAAAATGATCAAACCTAAGTCCATTCAGGCCCTTCCTGCAGTGCAAACCCCACTTAAAGCTGCACCCAGAGTGACACAGGTGTCACGTGCCACAGTCTGCACTGGCCTGGGCTGAAGGAATTCTGCACAGTCTGGACCCTGCAGTTCCTCAGTTCCAACAGCTCCCAGGTGTCCCTCCATGGATTGGGGTCACTGGCACAGCCCCAAGATAACACCCTGGAAGTGCCCAAGGCCAGGCTGGACGGGGTTTGGAGCAACCTGGGCTAGTGGGAGGTGTCCCTGCCCATGACAAGGGTGCAACTGGAGGATTTTTAAGGTCCCTTCCAACCCAAAGCATTCCAGGATTCTGTGGACACCAGCTCACACTAGAAACAGTTGGAATCTTCAATTCCAATTTCTCAGCCTGTGCTTTCTGATGACTGTCCCCCTTCCACACTGCGTCCTTTGTCCAGGCTGAAGTTGCCATTTCCAGGGATGTCACCCTGTGATGAATCCCAGGAAAAAGCTGCAGGATCCCAGCAATGTGGATCATCTGCCACGTTCATCACTCCCCCATCTCTTCTGGGCACCCACAATCCAAGCCCAGCTGCATCACTACACTCCCAGTCCAAGCCCAACTGCATCACTGTCACTGGGACTTGGAAAACACGAGGCAAAGCATGTTTAGAACGTGGGAAAATACAGTTTTACTGACAGAAGTGCAAGGCCAGAGCCTCTCCCCAAATCTGGCCAACCTTCCTGCTCTGCTCTGTCCTGCCCTGGGGTGGCCTCACCTCGAGTCTTGAGGGCACTTTTGGGCACCACGATGTAAGAAAGACCTAAAGCTGTCAGAGAGGGTCCAAAGGAGGGACACAAAGATGGGGAAGGGTCTGGAGGAGCCATACAAGGAGGGGCTGAGGGCACTGAGAGGCTGAGGGGAGGCTCAGTGGGGTCTGCAGCTCCTCCTGAAGGGCAGCACCATCTTTGCTCTCTGGGAGCAGGGACAGGATCCTGGAACGGCTGGAGCTGTGTCAGGGAAGGTTCAGGTTGGATATTTGGGAAAGGTTCTTCCCCCAGAGGGTGGTTGGCACTGAACAGGCTCCCCAGGGTTTGGGCACAGCCCCAAGGCTGCCAGAGCTCCAGGAGGGTTTGGACAACACTCTGAGGCACAGGGTGGGATTTTGGGGTGTCTGTGCAGGGCCAGCAGTTTTACTCTGATCCTTGTGGGTCCCTTCCAGCTCAGGAATTCCACTCTTCCAAGCCCTTCCAGCCTTTGTGACAGCCCTCTACCTGCAGGCAGCACGTGGGAGCACAGCTGAGCAGGGATTTTGCAATTCCAAGGTGTTTTCCGTCCTTGTGAAGCCATCAGGCAGCACAAGGGCAGCCCCTGACTGCGGGTGCTTCCCTGAGGGTTGGAGAGACACCTCAGCCCCTGGCCAAGCCAGAGGTTTGGGCAGCACAGAGGCCTGGCCCAAACTGCACCTTCTGCTGACACTTTAATTCACTTTATCGCCCTTTCCTCTCCCCCAGGGGCTCAGCTCTATCACTGTTGTGTCTCCAGGGTCAGATAACATTTCTTGTTCACACCAAAACCCCAACCCTGCTGCCTCCCTGCCAGGGGACACACTGTGCACTTGGAGCCCCTCCAGACAGAGCAGGGCCAGCCCAAATCCCACACAAAGAGCTCTCCTGGGAAGGCTCTTTGACACCTGGCTGAGGAAACCAGGAGGAGAAAGGAGGAATGTTCCAGACGACCAACAACAGCCCTGAGAACCTCCTGGTAACTCACACCAGATGCTGAGGTGGGGAATAAGAGCTAAAGCAAGATTTTCCAAGTGAAAACTTGACAACTGCCCTCAATTCCCTAAGGAACGTCAGAGAGAGCCTATGGAACAGCCTTGGCCAGGAGCTGCAGGGATAACTCACACCCTGCTCAAAAAAGGGCCTCCTGGGGCATCTCTGAGCCTTTTCTTCCTGCAGAGCCTCCGCCCTGGTGGCATGGAAAGTTTTCCCTGGGTTGAGACTTGTGTACCCAGATAAGAACAGAGATTAGAGGAACAAAACCCTGGAGCTCTGCTGGCAGCTCGGGAGAACATCCCTCCTCCCAAAACCCAACCCACAGGGAGCTGGGAGAACACCCCTCCTTCCAAAACCCAACCCATGGGGAGCTGGGAGAACATCCCTCCTTCCAAAACCCAACACACAGGGAGCTGGGAGAACATCCCTCCTTCCAAAACACAATCCATGGGGAGCTGGGAGAACATCCCTCCTTCCAAAACACAATCCATGGGGAGTTGGGAGAACATCCTTCCTTCCAAAACACAATCCATGGGGAGTTGGGAGAACATCCTTCCTTCCAAAACACACAAGGAGCTGGGAGGACACCCCTCCTCCAA